TCGGGAGATCCCGTTTCAACACGAGATTTGGGGGGGGCAACATCCACACCGTATCATCCACGCCGCAGGTGGGTTCAGCCACTTGGCAGGTGACAGCCTAACGACCACCACCAAGGGGTTTTGGCAGGAGACAGCCTAACGACCACCACCAAGGCGGATTCGGCATAAGGGTTTTATTACTTAAAACAGCTAAGAGGGAGGCCTGGGATAGTGCCCAAAGCTGGGGGCTGGGTTGGCTTTTATAAGCATATGGTAATGAGGCGTGATCTGATTGGGTCTTGCCAATGAGCTGATACCAGGAGGCGCGATCTGATTGGATCCTGCCCTATGGTGCCGGCTTCTTAATTCAGCTCCGGCTCTTTGGTTCCGGGCACTTAGGTTCCCCCTGTGGGTGCGTGCTCGGTTCACCTGGGCATGCCCAAACTGCCTGACCGCCTACCTGGGGTCCATGGCAACTGAAAAACAACTCACAACTGTGTTACCTAAAAGTCGAACCAGGGTGGGCGCAGTTGCCCAGGCCTGTAATCCCAGAATTTTGGGAGGCCCAGGCGGGAGGATCACTTGAGGCCAGAAGTTCGAGACCAGCCTGGGCAACACCATCTGGTCATGCTGGCGCACACCTGTAGTCCAGCTACTCAGGAGGTTGAGGCAGGAGGATCACTTGGGTCTAGAAGTTGGAGGCTGCAGTGAGCTATGGTGATGCTACTGCACTCCAGTCTGGGTGACAACATGAGATCCTGGCTCAAAAAAAAGTTAAACTAGATTGGTGTGGTGCGATCACACCTCCACACTTGTTTCCCCCAGGCTGGCATCCACACTACAGCCCAGTTGGCCCTTGCAAAATGCAAAAACAGTTTAAGCACCGCCCCCACCCCCCGTCAGTGGCCCCCCTACTCCTGACATGGGTCCCAGGCCCTGTATGGTGGTCCCACTCCACTCCAGCCTCTTCCCACCCTGACAGCTGGCTTTAGGACTCATTCATGTGCAACCCTGTCCCCCTGAGGGTGTCCAGTGAGCAGCTGGACACACGAGCCTGTGTCTGGGTTGTGAGTTTGGGAGTCACCAGCAGACAGATGGCGTCTGCAGGCACGGGCTTCCCACAGCTACAGAGTGTTTGAGAGGCCGGGCCGAGGACAGCCAGTGCCGTGTCTCGGAAGCCATGAGAAGCAAGGGTTTCCAGCAGGGTGGGTGCCTGGCAGACCAGCGAGGTGAAGGCGGGGTTGTGGGGACCTTGGCGATGTGATGTAAAAGACCAAGAAGAGGGAGTGAGCGGAAACGGGGTGGGGGGTGGGGAGGTCAGATCCCGGCCAGGAGGGCGGACAGGCAGGGAGGAGGTCCCAAAGCCACCGGACCAGTGGCCCTCATGCATGGCTCCAGGGCCCGTGGCCCTCCTGGGGCAAGCTTGACAGATCTGTGGGTTGACTAGCGTTCTGGGCCTCAGTTTCCCAGTGAGGGACCCAGTGAGGGACCCAGTGACGCCCACGATGCTGCCATCCTCTGCCCTCACTCATGCCCGGGTCTGCTCTGCGTGTCCCCGTCTTCCAAGCTCGTGCCTGTCTTTTGAGGAGACCCGACTCCTCACGGCTGAGGCTCTCTCCCTTGGCCAGGAGAGAGCCTCATTCCCATTTCACAGGCAGGAACTGAGGCCCAGAGCGGGCACCGACTCTCTCCAGGTCACACACCCTATCAGGAAGGAGAGGTCAGAACCAGCAGAGGCCCCTCTTTTTCCTGGGGCCCAGAGGGGTGGCTCAGCCCACCTCCAGACTGTTCTCACTGCTGTGACACGGACTCCGATGGGGACACACAGCCAGATGTGCACGCGCCGAGCCTCTGGTGGGCCGACACTCACACTCGTGCTCAGCTGAAGTTGGCGCGACTGTTTCTGAAGATTCTTGCACCAGTTCTATAAACACCCACCGAAACAGGGAAGCCAGCCCGGCCAAGGGAAGTGAAACTTCCCAGCACCCCCCCACTGCCATCTCCCTGGAGTCGGGGGGCCCAGCACTTTGTGGCAGGAAGTGCCCGGCCCCCAGCAGCTCCCAAAATAGCCAGGTCCCTGAGTCAGCTGGATTCCAGGGCCTGGGGGGTCTTTGGGACAAAGACCAAGGCTCGGGGCTCACAGAGCAGCGGCAGCCCTGAGACCCCCACTCCGAGCATAGAGGAGCCAGGAGGGGGACAGGCAGGCTCCTCTGGTGACTCCCCCCACCGCCCCCTGCTAGGGTGGGGGTCCAACCTCCTAGAGCCTCAGTCCACAGCTCCAAACCCGAGCCCATGACAGTGACCCTCCAGGGCCAGCGCCAGGTGAAGGATTGAGTGACCCCAGCATTGCCCCTGACGGCGGCCTCTGCCCGCCCTTTGCTGGGGCTCCAGATTCCAGGAGAGGAGCCCTTGGAGGGAGCTCTTGGGGAGCCCCAGCCCTCTGGGTGACCCAGCTTCGTGCGGCACCCACCTGTCAAGGTCCCAGCAGCCCTGATGAGAGCCAGGATGGGCTCCAGTCCTCAGGCTCTGAGCTCAGGGAGCCCAGGGCTGGAGAGCCAAGTGTGATCTGGCTTCCAAGAGCCCCAGGCTGCTGGGCCTGGCACTCCAAGCAAGGCCGGGCCAGCCTTAGGAGACCCAAATGTGGTGTGAGGGAGGCCCGGACCAGGTACCCAGGGTCTCACCAAGTTGCCCAGGCTTGGCAAGGACTGAAAGTAGGAACCCAGACGAACCCAATCGGGCATCCGTATTCATAGCAGCGTTGTCTGCTAAAGCCACGAGGTGGATGCCGCCCAGATGTCCGCAGAAGGCTAAGTGGACAAACAACGTGCTCCAAGTATGCCGTGGAATAGTATTCAACCTCAAAAGGGGAGGAAATTCGGCCGGGCACGGTGACTCCTGCCTATAATTATAGCACTTTGGGAGGCCAAGGTGGGAAGATCGCTTGAGCCCAGGGGCTCGAGACCAGCCTGGGCAACTTGGTGAGACCTCGTCTCTACAGAAAACAAAAATTAGCCAGGCGTGGTGGCGTGTGCCTGCAGTCCCAGCTACTACAGGGGTCTGGGGTGGAAGGATCACCTGAGTCCAGCAGGTCGAGGCTGCGGTGAGTCACTGCACTCCAGCCTGGGCGACAGAGTGAGATCTCAACTCAAAAAAAAAAAAGAAAAAGAGAGAGAGAGAGAAATGGGAACCTGGGAGTCATTTCCAAAATGACTAAAATTACCGGATGAAACATTTTGAAATTTTATTTGATTTTATTTATTTTATTTCTTTGAGTTGGAGTCTCACTCCGTCGTCCAGACTGGAGTGCAGTGGCCGCTCCCGGCCACCGCAGCCTCGACCTGCTGGGCTCCGGCGATCCTTCCGCCTCAGCCTTCCGAGTAGCTGGAACTACAGGAGTGCGCTACCACGCCCAGCTAATTTTTGATTTATTGTAGAGATGAGGTCTTGCCAAGTTGCCCAGGTGGGTCTCGAACCCGCGGGCTCAGGCAATCCACTCACCTCAGCCTCCCAAGGCGCGGGTTTACAGGCTGAGCCACCGAGCCCAGCTTGAAATTTTATTTAACAAAGAGCTGTACACCTGGAACCCACAGGGCACCGCCCTCAGGGTGAAGGTGACCCAGGAGTGGCCACAGCCGTCTGGGGCCAGCGAGGACTGAGGTGGTGGAGGGAGGGGCCCCGTCATCCGGGTGGCCACCAAGGTTCACACCTCGATAGTAATTTTCGGGGGCCCCGTCTGGTGGTGGCCGAAACCAAGTCACTGGCCCACTGCCAGCCTACGGCTTCAGGGCTCCAGGCCCCGCCCACCCTGGACTGGACACCTGCGCGGTGAACCTGGCCGTCCGGCAACCCCAAATCCTCCCCTGGGGCATCTGTCTGCACTCCTGGCCTTAAACAGTCCCAGCAAGTAACTTTCCAAGGCCACGTCCAGCTCCGCCGTGAGAGCCGCACCTGGCCCCTAGAGGCCGGGCTGTCCCTATTTCCAGGGGACAAGGAGAGGAGCCTGCCTGCTGGACCTGGACTCCACGGGGCTGTGGCAGTGGCGAGCGTGGCGGGGGGAGGGGAGCCCCAGCACTCCGTCTGACCTGTGGCCGGACACGGACTTGGCCCGCCCCACCCCCCGCCTGCCCTCAGCCCCGAGACACAAACACTTCCCGCCCAGGCCTTAAATACCAGCCCATCGGGGAGGTGGACACTCCAGCCTTGGCGGCCGGGAAGCCCACACCCGCGTGGGCAGGTAAGCAGCCCCCCACCTCAGCCCTCACCAGCTCAGAGGCACACGCGGGGGGGGCTGGAAGGCGGACCCCAGACACCCCGCAGGTCACTCCCGTGACACTCTCCACCTGCCAGGCAGTGCCTCAGTCTCCCTGGTCTATGAAACAGGAGCACGGCGAGTGTGGGTAGGGGCACCCAACCCCCCCCCGTGTGTCTGGGCCCCTCTGCTCAGGAGAGAGAAACTTCTTAAAAGGAGCAGGCAGCCAGGCGCGGTGGCCCATGCCTGTCATCCCAGCACAATAGGAGGATCGCTTGAGCCCAGAGGTTCGAGACCAGCCTGGGCAACATAGCAAGACCTGTTTCTGCAAAAACAAAACAGAAAAATTAACCAGGCCTGGTGGTGTGCGCCCGCAGTCCCAGCTACCCGGGAGGCCGAGGCGGAAGGCTCGCCTGCGCCCAGGAGGTCGGGGCTGCGGTGAGCCATGATCGTGCCACTGCACTCCAGCCTGGGTGACAGAGTGAGACCTGAGTCAAAAGAAAGGCCGAGAGGACAGCCCTCTCCTCAAAGGAAGGGACTCCGGGCACCCATGGGAGAAACCTCGGTGGAGGGTGCCTTTGAGCTGGGCCCCCGGGGGAGCAGGCGGGGGACCGCTGACACCACCATTGGCCACTGCGCCTCTGGACAGACAGGCGGCCGCTCTGCCGGCTTGGACTCCTCAGGCCCCAGGGAGCTCACTGCCGCCATCTCCAGCGGCTGCGCCAAGTTTCCCGAGGACACCCGCCCCCCAGGCGTCCCGCCCCACCCCGGGATGTGCTCGCTGCCTGTGCCCCGGGCGCCCCTGAGCCGCGTGGCCGTGACCGGGGGCACCCACGGCAACGAGATGACGGGCGTCTACCTGGCCCGGCACTGGCTGCGGGCACCGGCGGAGCTGCAGAGACCCAGCTTCTCCGCCATACCCGTGCTGGCCAACCCCAAGGCCGCCGCCGCCTGCCGTCGCTACGTGGGCCGCGACCTCAACCGCACCTTCACCAGCACCTTCCTCACGTGAGTGCTCTCGCCACCCGGCCAGCCCAGGCGGGTGGGCACTGAGCCCCCTCCGCAAACTTCCCCTCCAGCCTCCAGCGCCCCCTGCCTGCACTGCCCATTCCTCCCTGGAGAAGAACTGGAAGTGTAGAGAAATCCAAATTGATGCCCTCCTCCAGGAAGCCCTTCCGGACTGCAGGCTGGTTCGCAGCCTCCTCTGGGCTCCCCAGACCCCAGGTTTCCTTCACATCAGCCGCCACAGGCTGTGTCTACCTGTCTTGTGCCCCAACCACTGTTCACACCTTCAGTGGATATTTCCTGAGTCCCATTCCGAGGCCAGGCTCTGGCTAGCTGGGGTGAGAACGGAGAACAGGTCCAAGGCGCTGGCCTCAGCCTAACGGGGAGACAGAGGAAGGATCCAGCAACACTACCCCAGGGGGCTAAAGGCAGGGGTGGAGGGCTACACAAAGCGTCTCGCCCGGCCAAGAGCAGTCAGGGAAGGCTTCCCGGAGGAGGAAGCCTCACAGGGCGAGTAAAAGCTCGCCAGGCGAACGAGGCGCGAAGGAGCGTCCGGAAGGAGGCGAGGCCAGTGCGACCAGGCAGGGTGGCCGAGTGAGGGCACGAGGGGCAGGTGGGCCAGGCGGAGGGCGCGCTTGACCCTGACGGGAAGTGGGCAGCCAGCGGGCGAGGGCAGCGGCGGGCACAGCGC